AAATTGAAAAAAAATGCACATATTACATTATTTAGAACTTTTGTTTAACTTTTATATTTAGTAAGAATATTGTGGATTTCAAGTAGTTCTTGGGTCTGTATACTATATAACTTTGAATTATTTTTTCTTAGACTCAGATGAACTTGAGTCTCTTAGCAAATCAGATAAGATAATTCTTAAATGGTTAGAAATCATAATGCCTACAACAATTTTTTACACATGTATGTAGTCAAAAATTCTTCTTAAATTTGTCAGGTGGTAAATTAAAAACGCTAAAGTCCCTTCTAACTCTACAGTGAATTTAGTTAAATGATAAAATCATTTCATAAATGTGCCTTCTCTCTTCTGTGCTCTCATTTTATTTGCACACAAATAACAAATTATTTAATAACTATAGCATGTATTATAGTGCAAAGGCAAAGAGTGTACACTACTTTAGTAATGGGTAATACTTAACATTTTTAATTTATAAAAGACACACCTGAAGTGTGTGCATGGTGATACCTATTTCAACACAATTTTATCAACATCTACTGATCATTACTAATCAAAATTACATATGTTAATAATTTCAGGAATTTGAGAGGAGAAAACAAGAGAGAGAAGAAGCTCAAAGACTCTACAAAAAGAAGAAAATGGAAGTGTTTAAAATATTGAGCAAAAAGACTAAGAAAGGCCAGCCAAACTTGAATTTACAAATGGAATATCTTCTTAAAAAAATACAAGAAAAAAGTTAAATCAGACATTTTGTCCTTAATCAAGGGTTAGAACATCTGTTGTCTGTTGAATTCTTTTATATATGTAATGTACTTCTAACATTAATTAAATTTGTCAACATAAAATATATTGTTAATCTATACTAAATATAAAATGCCCAAATATTTTTATTCTTATAAAAGAAAATGCTCTACATATGTTCTGCATAATGTGATTTGTTTCTTGTTTATTTGCCTCTGAAGTAAGGGAAGCCTGAAGAACTGAAAGAACTTTCTATTTGGATAACAGGTTCAAACACTTAATGGTTTTGTACTATATAAAATTCAGATAAAATATTTTGAAAATAAGGGAGCACAGCTTTAATGAAGCATTTCAATGAAAATTTTCAATTTAGTTTCAATGGTTTTTAAATTCATTTTAATGATGAAGGAGGCAAAACTCCCCTTGGACTGTTTAAGTTAAGCATGTTAACAGGGGTGTGGGCTTTCCCGAAACCTGAGAACAGGATACCTGGGTGCTAAAACTACCTTCTAACCACATCATATAATTGTGGTCTTCATAAAGCAGAGTTTGGTGTCAATACTCAGAATCTTGATATTTATAAACATTTTCAAAAGAGGAAGTACATAGCTTGTTAGTATAAGATCTTGTAAGTAATGATGGGAACCCAGCAATGTCATACAGCAAGAGTTAAGCTTTCCAGATCCTGTTATTGTGTAAGAACATTGTCACTGGAACATTACTGGTGTTGTCTCTGTTGCTACCCTTGTGAGCTGAGAGAATACTGGAATACTCTTGTCTCCTTGCAATCTCTGCAAAATGAGAAAGGCTTGACTATCATCAGTACAAACAAAAGGACTATACAATGATATTTGCACAACATTGCATAATAAAGTTTTAAAAAGAGAGAACAGGTTGAAATTGCACTGCAGTTTTAGGGAGCCCTTGCATTCCACTGATGACTCCGCATTTAAAAGTGCAATAGGAGATGCTAAGGAAGCAACTTACTAAAGGAAGGCAATGAAATACAATATTTAGAAATTTGCAATACACCATATTGCATTTAAAATAAGCAACTCAGAAAACCTACATTTGGCCACATTGGCGAAGACAGTACATAGTGAAGCAGAGTAAAATATTTCAATTGCTTTATAATGATTTTACCTGTATTTTACTTCTAGATACTTTATCAGGGTAGGCCAAAACATGGCAAGAGATCTAGTCCTTTTGAGAGTAAAATTAAGTTCATTTTAACAACTTCGTTGAGCAGTTGCTATATATGCGAAGGTCCAGGTTAAGGAGTTATTCTTTAAAACAAAAAAAAAAGATTCCTTTCTCTAAGGATCTTTAAGGGCAGTAAATGTCTAATAATGTCATAGGACCAAAAGTAATCTGTGATGAACAGGTACAAAATAAAAGGTTCAAACTTTAGTGCACCAGAATATCACCTAGAGAGTTTATAATATACATTTGAGGGCTCTATCCCAAGATTTGGATAGCATTGATGGGCTCAGTAATAGATGTTTAAACAACTTTTAAAACATTCCATGGTGGTTGGTTCTCAGACCACACTGCAAAGCATTGGACCAGGGCCAGAGAAGAAAGGTTTCATCAGTGGACATTAGGGGAAGTTTCATGGATGAGATGACGTGAGAAAAGCTTTCAAGGATGAAAAGAGAATTAGAGATGAAGACAGCATGGAGAAAATTACAAAAGGAAGAAAGCTTGGGCTGTATTTAAAAGTTTATTTAAAAGTCTAAAAATTAAGTTACATGTATGTTATCACTGATGGTGTTCATACTTCCTTTCCATTCTGAATGTTCCCTTCCATATAAAGGGAGCCCCCTCAGCCCAATAGTCTTGTTCTGCCCAGGGAGGTAGTGACTTATCTAAATGCTAAGTTCAGGAGGAGGACCTGGCCTGCCTGCACAGTGCATTACTCTTGTTTACTATTACTCTGAAAATTGTTAAGAACAGGCTGTATTGATAATGAGTAGGAAGGGATGGGGATGGAGGCAGAGTAGGGCAGAGGCCTTGCATTTTGAAGAATGTAACATCTAAAACTACCAATTTGTGTTGTATGAGTCAGTATACTGAGAAATAAAATAGGAATGAAATTTGAGGGAAGACAATATACAAATAGAGAAGATTTGGGTGGCCAGGGCTTGTGGTTTCAGACTTCAGATTTTAATGTGTACAGAGGGAATTTTGATCTTGGATGTTTGTAGAGGCTTATACTGGGCTGTTAATTTGATTTTTATAACTGCAGCAAGTTTTTAATTGCTGTGGTTTTGGCAAGAGGCTTTAAGCCTTAAGGCATGTGGGATTTTGATGTGAAGTTTAGGGTAGCTTTGTCCACAGAAAATTGGTTATTTCCAGAAATGGTGCAATATTGGGCCTTAAGCACAAGTGTGCAGGCCTCAACGAAGAAGGAATAGGGTGTAGAAGTGGTACAAACACATAGGCTTTAGCAAAGTTACAGAGTATGACAGTGGGGCTCACCCAAATGCTCACCTACTCTATGGCTGCAGCCAGTGCCAGCCAAGATGAGGCTTAGTGAGCTACCCTGGCTGTGTTGGCATTTACAAAGTCATTGGCATGTGCAGGCAGCCTCAGGGTGCAGGCTTGACCTTGACTTACATTTAAATTTATGCATCAGGGGCCTCATCTGAGGCTGCAGAGACACTGGAAAGCAACTTTATTTGAGGAAAATAATGTTAGAAAAGATTATACTGTGGATATGCTAAACATTCATAATCATATCAGTATTTGCTGCTTTTAAACTTCAAGGCAGAAGACTTTAGGCAATAAAAACTTCTAAAGAAGTTTAGTTTTAAGTTGTGCATGCCAGTCATTAAAATGCAATATAAAAGCAAATTTTGACTATAAAGAGCTTTGAATATACTAGATGGGAAAGATCAGAACTTCAAATAAGAAGTTCTGGTGATTGGAACAGCATCACTGCAAATCTATACTTTGCAAGATGGCATTAGTGTCAAATGCCACTCAGAAAGATAGTGTGCCATGTTAAATGCATGGTGATAAATTTAACTTCTTGCTAAGAATTTTTTTTCCAATTTAGTTTTAAGTGTGAAGGTCATGGACCCTGGACAATGTGCATAAAGTGATCGGCATTCTAATGAGGAGAAAGCCATCCCCAAGTATCCTTCTTACAGATTAATAAGTATCTCCTATAGAGTTTCTGCTGTGTATCGATTTTAGCAATAACGACTACTGGGTTCTGGGAACGTAATTTTGTCCAGGATAAATGCTTTTTAATTTTTGTGGAGGTGAGGCAAGTATTATGATCTTGGGTGTTTTATTACTAATTTGAACCTTTTCAAAACTGAGACACAGCATAGACTTGATGTTGAATTAACTTTGAGGAGCTGAACAAGTCACATCCATTCCCAAGAAAGACACAGGCTGCAGCTGCTGTAGGAATTCATCTAGGCATTAAAAATATTTCTGGCTGTGAACGAACAAGACAAACTGCAAAGGACTTTAATTTCATTGGACTTTGATGAAGGCAAGAGAATTTGATTCCAGGTTTTGATTTTTTTGGCTTTTGAACATTAACTTGAACGATAATTTAATATATAGAATTTATTTTTTCCCTAAGAGTTTAATAAGATGAAATATTAATACTAAAATGTGGGATATCGACATTTTGCTGGTATTTTAACATTGGGCTTTTTGTATTTGGATAATCCCCATTGAGAAAACCTGATTGGATCACCAGTGGAGCCGATAGAGCTCTGTGCCAGAGAAGCACACCTCATGGGCCTAGTGACCCCAAATTTTACAAGTAGATTTATTGAGGTAAAATAGATTGAACATATTTAAAAAGTATAATTTGGTGAGTTCTGCACAAGTATACACTGATGAAAGCATTACCACCATCATAAATCCATCACCATCACCTCAAACAATTTCTTCGTGTCCCTTTGTAATCAATACTCCCAGTGCTCCCCACCCTGGAACTATAACTGATTCCAAGAAGCCACTAATCTGCTTTCTGTACTATAGATAGTTTACATTTTCAAAAGTTTTATAAAATTGGAATAATATACTATGCACTCTTTATCTGGTCTCAGTCAGCATAATTATTTTGAGATTTATCCATGTGGTTGCATTTATCAATTTGTTCCTTTTTATTGCTGAGTATTCTATTATATAGATATACCACCACTTTTTTAACCATTCACCTGTTGAGTTTCCAGTTTGGGGATTCTACAAATAAAGCTACTATGAACATTTGTGTATACATCTTTGTAAAGGCATATGCTTTTGATTCTCTTGGGTAAATACCTAGGAATGGAATGGTTCAGTCATACAGTAGGTATATATTTAACTTTTTAAGAAATATGACATCTGTAAAGAGATTGGGTACTGAAAAAGTGGCTCCCCACTAAAACAGAAAGAAGCCAATGTAGTCAAATTATATCTATTTGTAGGTAGGCCTTCCATTTCTAGTGGGTGCAGATGCTCCATTTTTCACCTTAAATCTCATCACTTTATCTCAACCTGTTCTATAGAATACTAATAAAATAACTGGGAAGATTGTCTCCAAAAGACATTGATAACCTCTGATCTTACTAGTCTTGCAAGTTTTACCAATTTCAGTTGTGTGCTTCTGCTCCAGCTAACTTGAGACTTACTCTGTAACATCATTATGAAATTAAATGTTTGCCAGAAGGCACCCTTGCATGTACTGCCCTCTTCCGACGTAATGTGAGATCAGATTCCTTCTGCTCTTTGGGTTAAAGATTCTACTGACATGAGTAGAATATTTAGAACTGACCTACTAAGATTCAACTGAATCCTTATAAATCTCCCACTGAGGTCATCCCAATATCCACTCAAACCTGAAATCATCTCAGGAAGAAAAAGCACTATTCAGTCTTTATCAGAATAAAGAGGCCACATCTCATTCCTTGCAATACTTCCACAAAGCCAGTTAAGAAGCTTATCAGGAAAGGCTACCCCTATTTGTTCAAGATCTCAAGGTGAGCAATAGAATTGTGTTCCCTAGATTCCTAGTAGTTCAGAGCACAAATGTGTCCTGTCCTCTATCCCCTGAAAAAATAAATATTTCATAGTGGTCCATTTATATGCAGTTTTGTT